TCAAGCAATGATTGTGATTTATTACCCATGGATCTCTCCTCCATCCATTTACAAGTTCTTCATACAAGATGATCATGGATCTCTACCAGTTGCTCTCCTTGAAACTTCAAGCAATGATTGTCCATTTATTACCCGTACCAGGGTTTCTCCTCCATCCATTTACACAAGGTCTTCATGCAAGATGATCATGGATCTCTACCAGTTGCTCTCCTTTGTAACTTCAAGCAATGATTGTCCATTTATTACCCGTCCCAGGGTTTCTCCTCCATCCATTTACACAAGGTCTTCATGCAAGATGATCATGATCTCTACCAGTTGCTCTCCTTGTAACTTCAAGCAATGATTGTCCATTTATTACCCGTCCCAGGATTTCACCTCCATCCATTTTACACAAGGTCTTCATGCAAGATGATCATGGATCTCTACCAGTTTCTCTCCATTGTAACTTCAAGCAATGATTGTCCATTTATTACCCGTCCCAGGATTTCTCCTCCATCCATTTACACAAGGTCTTCATGCAAGATGATCATGGATCTCTACCAGTTGCTCTCCTTGAAACTTCAAGCAATGATTGTCCATTTATTACCCGTACCAGGATTTCTCCCTCCATCCATTTACACAAGATTTCATGCAAGATGATCATGGATCTCTACCAGTTGCTCTCCCTTGAAACTTCAAGCAATGATTGTCCATTTATTACCCGTACCAGGTTTCCCTCCATCCATTTACCATCTTCATGCAAGATGATCATGGATCTCTACCAGTTGCTCTCCTTGAAACTTCAAGCAATGATTGTCCATTTATTACCCGTACCAGGGTTTCTCCTCCATCCATTTACATGATCTTCATGCAAGATGATCATGGATCTCTACCAGTTGCTCTCCCTTGTAACTTCAAGCAATGATTGTCCATTTATTACCCGTCCCAGGGTTTCTCCTCCATCCATTTACACAAGGTTCTTCATACAAGATGATCATGGATCTCTACCAGTTGCTCTCCCTTGTAAACTTCAAGCAATGATTGTCCATTTATTACCCGTCCCAGGGTTTCTCCTCCATCCATTTACACAAGGTCTTCATGCAAGATGATCATGGATCTCTACCAGTTGCTCTCCATTGTAACTTCAAGCAATGATTGTCCATTTATTACCCGTACCAGGGTTTCTCCTCCATCCATTTACACAAGGTCTTCATGCAAGATGATCATGGATCTCTTTATTACCCGTACCAGTTTTCTCTCCATTGTAACTTCAAGCAATGATTGTCCATTTATTACCCGTCCCAGGGTTTCTCCTCCATCCATTTACACAAGGTCTTCATTCAAGATGATCATGGATCTCTACCAGTTGCTCTCCCTTGAAACTTCAAGCAATGATTGTCCATTTATTACCCGTCCCAGGGTTTCACCTCCACCATTTACACAAGGTCTTCATGCAAGATGATCATGGATCTCTACCAGTTGCTCTCCCTTGTAACTTCAAGCAATGATTGTCCATTTATTACCCGTACCAGGGTTTCTCCTCCATCCATTTACACAAGGTCTTCATGCAAGATGATCATGGATCTCTACCAGTTGCTCTCCTTGTAACTTCAAGCAATGATTGTCCATTTATTACCCGTACCAGGGTTTCTCCTCCATCCATTTACACAAGGTCTTCATAAAGATGATCATGGATCTCTACCAGTTGCTCTCCTTTGAAACTTCAAGCAATGATTGTCCATTTATTACCCGTCCCAGGGTTTCTCCTCCATCCATTTACACAAGGTCTTCATGCAAGATGATCATGGATCTCTTCCAGTTGCTCTCCTTGTAACTTCAAGCAATGATTGTCCATTTATTACCCGTCCCAGGGTTTCTCCTCCATCCATTTACACAAGGTCTTCATGCAAGATGATCATGGATCTCTACCAGTTGCTCTCCTTGTAACTTCAAGCAATGATTGTCCATTTATTACCCGTCCCAGGGTTTCTCCTCCATCCATTTACACAAGGTCTTCATGCAAGATGATCTCTACCAGTTGGATTCTCAATGATTGTCATTTATTACCCGTACCAGTTTCTCCTCCATCCATTTACACAAGGTCTTCATGCAAGATGATCATGGATCTCTACCAGCTCTCCCTTGTAAACTTCAAGCAATTCCCGTAAGGGTTTCTCCTCCATCCATTTACACAAGGTTCATTTCATTATCTCCAGTCCTCCTTGTAACCTTCAAGGATTTCTATTTATTACCCGTACAGTTTTCCTCCATCCATTTACACAAGGTCTTCATGCAAGATGATCATGGATCTCTACCAGTTGCTCTCCTTTGAAACTTCAAGCAATGATTGTCCATTTATTACCCGTACCAGGGTTTCTCCTCCATCCATTTACACAAGGTCTTCATGCAAGATGATCATGGATCTCTACCAGTTGCTCTCCTTTGTAACTTCAAGCAATGATTGTCCATTTATTACCCGTACCAGGGTTTCTCCTCCATCCATTTACACAAGGTCTTCATGCAAGATGATCATGGATCTCTACCAGTTGCTCTCCTTGTAACTTCAAGCAATGATTGTCCATTTATTACCCGTCCCAGGGTTTCACCTCCATCCATTTACACAAGGTCTTCATGCAAGATGATCATGGATCTCTACCAGTTGCTCTCCTTGTAACTTCAAGCAATGATTGTCCATTTATTACCCGTCCCAGGGTTTCTCCTCCATCCATTTACACAAGGTCTTCATGCAAGATGATCATGGATCTCTACCAGTTGCTCTCCTTGAAACTTCAAGCAATGATTGTCCATTTATTACCCGTCCCAGGGTTTCTCCTCCATCCATTTACACAAGGTCTTCATGCAAGATGATCATGGATCTCTACCAGTTGCTCTCCTTGTAACTTCAAGCAATGATTGTCCATTTATTACCCGTACCAGGGTTTCTCCTCCATCCATTTACACAAGGTCTTCATGCAAGATGATCTCTATGGATCTCTTTACCAGTTTCTCCTCCATCCATTGTAAGGTCTTCAAAGATGATCATGATTCTACCAGTCCTCTCTTATTTCAAGCCCGTTTACCAGGATTTCTCCTCCATCCATTTACACAAGGTCTTCATGCAAGATGATCATGGATCTCTACCAGTTGCTCTCCCTTGAAACTTCAAGCAATGATTGTCCATTTATTACCCGTCCCAGGGTTTCTCCTCCATCCATTTACACAAGGTCTTCATACAAGATGATCATGGATCTCTACCAGTTGCTCTCCCTTGAAACTTCATGCAATGCAATGATTGTCCATTTATTACCCTCTACCTGTTCCCAGGGTTTCTCCTCCATCCATTTTTACACAAGGTCTTCATGCAAGATGATCATGGATCTCTACCAGTTGCTCTCCCCTTGTAACTTCAAGCAATGATTGTCTATTTATTACCCGTCCCAGGGTTTCTCCTCCATCCATTTACACAAAGGTTTTCATGCAAGATGATCATGGATCTCTACCAGTTGCTCTCCCTTGAAACTTCAAGCAATGATTGTCCATTTATTACCCGTCACAGGGTTTCTCCTCCATCCATTTACACAAGGTCTTCAAGCAAGATGATCATGGATCTCTACCAGTTGCTCTCCATTGTAACTTCAAGCAATGATTGTCCATTTATTACCCGTCCCAGGGTTTCTCCTCCATCCATTTACACAAGGTCTTCATGCAAGATGATCATGGATCTCTACCAGTTGCTCTCCTTGTAACTTCAAGCAATGATTGTCCATTTATTACCCCGTACCCAGGGTTTCTCCTCCATCCATTTACACAAAGGTCTTCATGCAAGATGATCATGGATCTCTACCAGTTGCTCTCCCTTGTAACTTCAAGCAATGATTGTCCTATTTATTACCCGTACCAGGGTTTCTCCTCCATCCATTTACACAAGGTCTTCATGCAAGATGATCATGGATCTCTACCAGTTGCTCTCCTTGAAACTTCAAGCAATGATTGTCCATTTATTACCCGTACCAGGGTTTCTCCTCCATCCATTTACACAAGGTCTTCTCTACCAGTTGCAAAGATGATCATTATTACCCGATCTCTCCATCCATTTACACAAGTCTCCATTGATCAATCTCAAGTTGCTCTCCCTGATTGTCCATTTATTACCCGTACCAGGGTTTCTCCTCCATCCATTTTACACAAGGTCTTCATGCAAGATGATCATGGATCTCTACCAGTTGCTCTCCTTGTAACTTCAAGCAATGATTGTCCATTTATTACCCGTACCAGGGTTTCTCCTCCATCCATTTACACAAGGTCTTCATGCAACATGATCATGGATCTCTACCAGTTGCTCTCCCTTGTAACTTCAAGCAATGATTGTCCATTTATTACCCGTACCAGGATTTCTCCTCCATCCATTTACACAAGATCTTGTTGCAAGTTGATCATGGATCTCTACCAGTTGCTCTCCTTGTAACTTCAAGCAATGATTGTCCATTTTATTATTGTCCATTTACTTCTCCTCCATCCATTTTACACAAGTTCCTCAGGTTTCTCTACTTGCTCTCCATTTTTCAAGCAATGATTGTCCATTTATTACCCGTACCAGGTTCTCCATCCATTTACACAAGGTCTTCATGAAGATCATGGATCTCTCCACCAGTTGCTCTCCCTTGTAACTTCAAGCAATGATTGTCCATTTATTACCCGTCCCCAGGGTTTCTCCTCCATCCATTTACACAAGGTCTTCATGCAAGATGATCATGGATCTCTACCAGTTTCTCTCCTTGTAACTTTCAAGCAATGATTGTCCATTTTATTACCCCGTCCCAGGGTTTCTCCTCCATCCATTTACACAAGGTCTTCATGCAAGATGATCATGGATCTCTACCAGTTGCTCTCCATTGTAACTTCAAGCAATGATTATCCATTTATTACCCGTCCCAGGGTTTCTCCTCCATCCATTTACACAAGGTCTTCATGCAATTGATCATGGATCTCTACCAGTTGCTCTCTCTTGAAACTTCCAAGCAATGATTATCCATTTATTACCCTCCAGGATTTCTCCTCCATCCATTTACATCCAGTTCTTCATACAAGATGATCATGTATCTCTACCAGTTGCTCTCCTTGTAACTTCAAGCAATGATTGTCCATTTTATTACCCGTTGATTCCTCCATCCATCCATTCTTCAAGTTCTTCATTCTCTCCAAGAAACTTCATCTTGTATCTCTACCCGTCCCAGTTTCTCTCCATTTTAAAAAGTCTTCAAAGATCTTTATCATTGTCCATTTATTACCCGTCCCAGGATTTCTCCTCCATCCATTTACACAAGGTCTTCATACAAGATGATCATGGATCTCTCCAGTTCAAGCTCTCCTTGAAACTTCAAGCAATGATTGTCCATTTATTACCCGTACCAGGGTTTCTCCTCCATCCATTTACACAAGGTCTTCATGCAAGATGATCTCTCCATGGATCTCTACCTTTCTCCCTTGAAACTTCAAGCAATGATTGTCCATTTATTACCCGTCCCAGGGTTTCTCCTCCATCCATTTACACAAGGTCTTTCCATTCCTCTCTTGATCTTGGATCTCTCTCTCCTTGTAACCTTCAAGCAATGATTGTCCATTTATTACCCGTACCAGGGTTTCTCCTCCATCCATTTACACAAGGTCTTCAGATGATCATGGATCTCTTTCTGCTCTCCTTTGAAACTTCAAGCAATGATTGTCCTCTTTATTACCCGTACCAGGGTTTCTCTCCATCCATTTACACAAGGTCTTCATTCCAAGATGATCTCTCTACCAGTTGCAAACAAGCATGATTGTCCATTTATTACCCGTACCAGGGTTTCTCCTCCATCCATTTACACAAGGTCTTCATACAAGATGATCATGGATCTCTACCAGTTGCTCTCCCTTGAAACTTCAAGCAATGATTGTCCATTTATTACCCGTACCAGTCCATTTCTCCTCCATCCATTTTACACAAGTTCTTCATGCAAGATGATCATGGATCTCTTCCATTCTCTCCTTGTAACTTTCAAGCCATGATTGTCCATTTATTATTTTTCTCCAGGGTTTCTCCTCCATCCATTTACACAAGGTCTTCATTCCAGATGATCATGGATCTCTCCCAGTTCCTCTCCTTGTTTCTCTCCATCCATTCCTTTCATCCATTTATCCATCCATTTCTCTACCAGGGTTTTCTCCTCCATCCATTTACACAAGGTCTTCATCCAAGATGATCATGGATCTCTACCAGCTGCTCTCTTTGTCCATCCAATGATTGTCTATTTATCCCTTTCTCTCCATCCATCCATTTATCTCTTCATCTCCATCCATTCCTGTATCTCTATCCCTTTCTCTCCATCCATTCCCTGATTGTCCATTTATTACCATCCATTTTCTTTTCCATCCATTTACTTTCTCTCCATCCATTCCTCTTCCATTTATTCTCCATCCATTCCTCTTCTCCATCCATCCATTCCTCTTTGATCTCCTTGAAACTTTATCATCCATTCCATTCCATATCTCTCTCCATTTACCATCCATTCTTCGCCAAGATGATCATATCTCTTTTTTCTCCATCCATTCCTCTTTATCCATTTATCCCCATCCATTTCCTCTCCATCCATTTACTCCATCCATTCCTGCAAGATGATCCTTTCTCTCTACCATTCCTCTTTATCCGTTTCTTCCATCCATTCCATTTATTACCCGTACCAGGATTTCTCATCCATTTACACAAGTTCTTATTCTTTCTCTCCATCCATTCCTTCTTTATCCCTTTTATTACCCGTCAGTCCATCCATTTTATCACAAGTTCTTCATGCATCCATTCATGTATCTCTATCATTTCTCCATCCATTCCTTTTCATCCCTTTCTCTCCATCCATTCCAAGTTCTTTATCAAGATTCTCTCCATCTCATTCCCATTTATCCCCGTACCAGCTTTCTCCTCCATCCATTTTACTATTTATCCAAGATCTGGATCTCCATCCATTCCTCTTTATTTATTCCCCCGTCTCTCCATCCATTTACTTCTTCATTATCATGGATCTTTCTCTCCATCCATTCCTCTTATTAAACAGTTTTCTCCTCTTTCTCCATCCATTCCTCTTTTCATATCCCTTTCTCTCTTATCTCCTCCATCCATTCCTTTTTATCCAGGGTTTCTCTCCATCCATTCCTCTTCATATCCTTTCTCTCCATCCATTCCTATTTATCTCTTTTTCCCATCCATTCCCTTCTTTATCTCTTTCTTCCATCCATTCCTTGTCTTTATCTCTTTCTCTCCATCCATTCCTCTTTATCTCTTTCTCTCCATCCATTCCTCTTTATCCCTTTCTCTCCATCCATTCCTCTTTATCCCTTTCTCTCCATCCATTCCTCTTTATCCGTTTCTCTCCATCCATTCCTCTTTATCCGTTTCTCTCCATCCATTCCTCTTTATCCGTTTCTCTCCATCCATTTATCTTTATTCCTTTCTCCTCCATCCATTCCTCTTTCCCTTTCTCTCCATCCATTCCTTTTTATTTCTTCCTCTTTATCTCTTTTCTCTCCCATCCATTCCTCTTTATCTCTTTCTCTCCATCCATTCCTCTTTATCTCTTTCTCTCCATCCATTCCTCTTTATCCCTTTCTCTCCATCCATTCCCTTTTATCCCTTTTTCTCCATCCATTTTACCTTTTTCATTCTCTATTTTTCTCTCCATCCATTCCTTTATCTCTTTCTCCTCCATCCATTCCTCTTTATCTCTTTCTCTCCATCCATTCCTCTTTATCCCTTTCTCTCCATCCATTCCTCTTTATCCATTTCTTACCCATCCATTCCTCTTTTTACCTTTTCTCTCCATCCATTCCTTTTTTATCCTTTTCTCTCATCCATTCCTCTTTATTACCCTTTTCTCTCCATCCATTTACCTCTTTTCATCTCATTTCTCTCCATCCATTCCTTGAAACTTTATCTCTTTTCTCCATCCATTCCTTTTATCTCTCCCTTTCTCTCCATCCATTTATCTCTTTATCTCCATTTCTTTATCTCCATCCATTCCTCTTTATCCCTTTCTCTCCATCCATTCCTCTTTATCTCTTTCTCTCCATCCATTCCTTTCTATCCCTTTCTCTCCATCCATTCCTCTTCTCTCCCATTTTCTCTCCATCCATTCCTCTTTATCCCTTTCTCTCCATCCATTCCTCTTTATCTCTTTCTCTCCATCCATTCCTCTCTATCCGTTTCTCTCCATCCATTCCTCTTTATCTCTTTCTCTCCATCCATTCCTCTTTATCCCTTTCTCTCCATCCATTCCTATTTATCTCTTTCTCTCCATCCATTCCTATTTATCTCTTTCTCTCCATCCATTCCTCTTTATCCCTTTCTCTCCATCCATTCCTCTTTATCCGTTTCTCTCCATCCATTCCTCTTTATCCCTTTCTCCATCCATTCCCATTCTTTATCTCTTCTCTCCATTTTCCTCCATCCATTCCTCCATCCATTCCTCTTTCTTTCTCTCCATCCATTCCTCTTTATCCCTTTCTCTCCATCCATTCCTATTTATCCCTTTCTCCATCCATTCCTCTTTATCTCTTTCTCTCCATCCATTCCTCTTTATCTCTTTCTCTCCATCCATTCCTCTTTATCCGTCTTTCCATCCATTCCTCTTTATCCGTTTCTCTCCATCCATTCCTATTTATCTCTTTCTCTCCATCCATTCCTCTTTATCTCTTTCTCTCCATCCATTCTTCTTTATCCTTTTCTTTTCCATCCATTCCTATTTATCTCTTTCTTTTCTCCATCCATTCCTCTTTATCTCTTTCTTTCCATCCATTCCTCTTTATCTCTTTCTCTCCATCCATTCCTTTTTATCCCTTTTCTCCATCCATTCCTATTTATCTCTTTCTCTCATCCATTCCATCCATTCCCCTCTTTATCTCTTTCTCTCCATCCATTCCTCTTTATCCCTTTCTCTCCATCCATTTTATTTATCTCTTTCCATTCCATCCCTTCTTTTCTTTTATCCATTTCTCTCCATCCATTCCTCCATTCTCTTTCTCTCCATCCATTCCTATTTATCTTTTCTCCATCCATTCCTCTTTTCTCTTTTTCCATCCATTCCATCTTTATCCCTTTTCTCTCCATCCATTCCTTTATTATCTCTTTCTCTCCATCCATTCCTCTTTATCCCTTTCCATCCATCCATTCCTTTTTGTCCATCTTTCTCTCCATCCATTCCTCTTTATCTCTTTCTCTTCATCCATTCCTCTTTATCTCTTTCTCTCCATCCATTCCTTTTATCTCTTTCTCCCATCCATTCCTCTTTCTTTATCCATTTTTTATCTCTCCATCCATTCCTCTTTATCTCTTTCTCTCCATCCATTCCTTTTTATCTCTTTCTCTCCATCCATTCCTTTTTATCTCTTTCTCTCCATCCATTTCTCTTTATCCTTTCTCCATCCATTCCTATTTATCTCTTTCTCCCATCCATTCCTTATTTATCCCTTTCTCTCCATCCATTCCTCTTTTCCATCTTTCTCTCCATCCATTCCTTTTTATCTCTTTTTCTCCATCCATTCCCTTTATCTCTTTCTCTCCATCCATTCCTTGTTTATCTCTTTCTCTCCATCCATTCCTATTTATCTCTTTCTCTCCATCCATTCCCTTTCTCTTTATCCATTCTCTCCATCCATTCCTATTTATCTCTTTCTCCATCCATTCCTCTTTATCTTTTCTCTCCATCCATTCCTATTTATTCTTTCTCCATCCATTCCTTTTATCCGTTTCTCTCCATCCATTCCTATTTATCTCTTTCTCTCCATCCATTCCTTTTATTTTTTCTCCATCCATTCCCTTTTATCTCTTTCTCTCCATCCATTCCTCTTTATCCCTTTCTTTCCATCCATTCCTATTTCCTCTTTCTCCTTTCTCCATCCATTCCTCTTTATCCTTCTTTCTCTCCATCCATTCCTCATTATCTCCATCCATTCCTCCATCCTTTTCCCATCCATTCCTATTTATCTTTCTCTCCATCCATTCCTTTTTATCTCTTTCTCTCCATCCATTCCTCTTATTTTCTATTTTTCCCGTTTTTCTCTCCATCCATTCCTCTTTATCCGTTTTCTCTCCATCCATTTATCCTTTCTTCCATCCATTCTATTTATCTCTTTCTCTCCATCCATTCCTCTTTATCCGTTTCTCTCCATCCATTCCTCTTTATCTCTTTCTCTCCATCCATTCCTCTTTATCTCTTTCTCTCCATCCATTCCTCTTTATCCCTTTCTCTCCATCCATTCCTCTTTATCCGTTTCTCTCCATCCATTCCTCTTTATCCCTTTCTCTCCATCCATTCCTCTTTATCCCTTTCTCTCCATCCATTCCTCTTTATCCCTTTCTCTCCATCCATTCCTATTTATCTCTTTCTCTCCATCCATTCCTCTTTATCCCTTTCTCTCCATCCATTCCTCTTTATCTCTTTTCTCTCCATCCATTCCTCTTTATCCGTTTCTCTCCATCCATTCCTCTTTATCTCTTTCTCTCCATCCATTCCTATTTATCTCTTTCTCTCCATCCATTCCTCTTTATCTCTTTCTCTCCATCCATTCCTCTTTATCTCTTTCTCTCCATCCATTCCTCTTTATCTCTTTCTCTCCATCCATTCCTCTTTATCTCTTTCTCTCCATCCATTCCTCTTTATCTCTTTTCTCCATTCCATTATCATTTCTCCATCCATCTTTCTTTATCTCTTTCTCTCCATCCATTCCTCTTTATCCCTTTCTCTCCATCCATTCCTATTTATCTCTTTCTCTCCATCCATTCCTATTTATCTCTTTCTCCCCATCCATTCCTATTTATCTCTTTCTCTCCATCCATTCCTCTTTATCCCTTTCTCTCCATCCATTCCTTTTTTTCCATCCCTTTCTCTTTCATCCATCCACTTTATTTATCCATTTCTCTCCATCCATTCCTATTTATCTTTTTCTCTCCATCCATTCCTCTTTATCCGTTTTCTCCATCCATTCCTCTTTCCTCTTTCCATCCATTCCTTTTATCTCTTTCTCCATCCATTCCTCTTTATCTCTTTCTCTCCATCCATTTATCCTTTTTCCATTCTCTTTATCCGCTTTCTCATCCATTCCTTTTTATCTCTTTCTCTCCATCCATTCCTTTCTTTATCTCTTTCTCTCCATCCATTCCTATTTATCTCTTTCTCCATCCATCCCCTCTTTATCCATCCATTCTCTTTCATCCATTCCTTTTATCTCTTTCTCTCCATCCATTCCTTTTATCTCTTTCTATCCATTTTTTCTCCATCCATTCATTCCTCTCATCCGTTTCTCTCCATCCATTCCTCTCTATCCTTTCTCTCCATCCATTCCTCTCTATCCGTTTCTCTCCATCCATTCCTCTCTATCCGTTTCTCTCCATCCATTCCTCTTTATCCCTTTCTCTCCATCCATTCCTATTTATCTCTTTCTCTCCATCCATTCCTCTCTATCCCTTTCTCTCCATCCGTTCCTGTTTTCTGCGTAGGTGAGTATGTAATAATAATAATTAAAATAAATTTATAAATAATCAAACTTTTATTTTGTCTTTTGTTCCTTCCCATTTCGAAACTGCCATCACCCTCACTTTGTATAGTCTCTTTCTCTGGGTAACTTAATTTGTTTACATCTGAATAAACTCTCTTCTCAGGTGCTATTATAATTAACAAAAATATGAAATCTGACCTTCTCTGCCCGATTCTATGTTTAAATAGTCAGAAAAATGTTAAATAATTTCCTGTTTACAGATGTTGTCCCTTTTGTATTCTTCATACTTCTTGCATCACCTCAACCCCACTTATGGCCCACCCTAAGGTCCACCCCATCAGTTGTTGGAATTTGGTTAATGCTTGACTTTTGGATCAGCTCTTTTTCAGTTGATTTGTGCAAGGAGCCTGGGCTCATTCTCTCTCTTGCATTTGCCCCTCTTTTCCTCTCATTTTCCCCCTTCCTCTCTCTCATTTTCTCTCCCTCTCATTTTCCCCCTTCCTCTCTCTCATTTTCTCTCCCTCTCCGGTTTTCTCGTCTAGATCACTCCCTCTCCGGTTTGGTCGTCTGCATCTCTCCCTCTCCGTTTTGGTCGTCTACATCTCCCTCTCCGAATTTTAAATCGTCTAAAATCTCTCCCTCTCCGGTTTTGTCGTCTATCATCTCTCCCTCTCGGTTTTATCGTCTCCTCTCTCCCTCTCCGGTTTGGTCGTCTACATCTCTTCCTTTTCTCCAGTTTTATCGTCATCTCTCCCTCTCCGGTTTGGTCGTCTACATCTCTCCCTCTCCGGTTTGGTCGTCTACATCTCTCCCTCTCCGGTTTTATCGTCTACATCTCTCCCTCTCCGGTTTTGTCGTCTACATCTCTCCCTCTCCGGTTTTATCGTCTACATCTCTCCCTCTCCGGTTTGTTCGTCTACATCTCTCTCTCTCTCCGGTTTGTTCGTCTACATCTCTCTCTCTCTCCGGTTTGTTCGTCTACATCTCTCTTTCTCTCCGGTTTGTTCGTCTAACACTCTCTCTCTCCGGTTTGTTCGTCTACATCTCTCTCTCTCTCCGGTTTGTTCGTCTACATCTCTCTCTCTCTCCGGTTTGTTCGTCTACATCTCTCTCTCTCTCCGGTTTGTTCGTCTACATCTCTCTCTCTCTCCGGTTTGTTCGTCTACATCTCTCCCTCTCTGGTTTTCTCGACTTTTTATTGGAATGAAGTCGAATATGATTGTTAATTGAATGTAGACTACTTTCACAATTTAAATCGTCAATTTCGTTTTGTAAAACTGGACTCCCAGTTACCAAAAAATCTGCACTGAATTGTAAAATAAAAAAAATGCAATAAAACTAAGCCATTATTTAATTAGAAAAGCTTTTAATTGCTTATATGAATAAGATATATTATGTTTTAAGAAAAAAAAATCCATGAATAATGAATTTTTACAAGAATTGTTTTCATTTTATAAAAAATTTTAATTAGAATAATTTATAAAGTTTTAAATCTTTTAAAATTCTGTCTTACTTTGCAGAGATTAGGTGATATTGTCATTAAATAAAAACTCTATTTACTAATCATAAGTGGAAAATCTTATTACAATTTAGTAACCCCTAATATTTTAAAAAGAATTTTTTTTTGTATGTGTATAAACATTTTGATTTTTATAAATATACAATATTATATAAAAAATAAAATATTCTATATGATATAAGAATGATAAGTACCTAAAATTCAGTAAAACATTATATTATAGAGAAAATTTTCATAAATTTTTAAGTTTACTGAGTAGTTAAAAATTATATAAAAAGGAGCTCACATTACATTCCTCAAGTAATTTTTACAGCTATATCCACCTTAGAAAAGAATTAGATAAACTTCATTCAAGCTGTCAATACCTTAAATAAACAGCTACTGTCATGTTAAACTGCAATATTTTAAACTTAAAGTAAGTAATATGTCTCAAGTCAGATTAATTAAACTTTGAATCAGCTCATATTCATCAAATAAAGTTTCAGAAAAGTTTTTTTATTTTCGAAAGATTTTTAACAGAGAGAATTACATTATGATGACAGATGGCTAAGAATGGCACTAAAATCAGCTATTTTAGCAATTTAAAAAATAAATTCCATCCATTTAATTTACATTAGTTTTGAAATACAGAAAAAGTATTTTGCATGTTGAAAATATTAAATTTAATCTATTAGCTGGAAATTAAAACTAAAATAAAAAAGGGTCTGTCTATATTTCTGAGATGAGGTATTATGTACAGTATTTACATTAGTCGGACTATTGTCCTCATCTTTGTCGCTTCAGGTGGTTGGAATTTCAAACTGAACCCTTTATTTCGATCACTAGGGTAGACTGTTCTAGTTCCACGTGCCATGTTTTGATGGATGTCAGTTATCAGTTATCTCCTGCTAATTTTCCCTCTGAAAGTTCTCCACTGCCTTAATCAGGTATTGAACTCACCTTCTTTCGGTCTGTCACTGGATCTAACCAACGCCTTTATCCACTGTGCCATGTGTCCTTGACACATGGCACAGTGGCACAAAATAAAAAACTTCAAGAAAGTTTTGTTTTATTTTTAAAAATTCATCTTAAACCTTAAGTATCACAGTTTTGTGGAAGTACCTCGTTTAAAGTGATATTGTAGATGTCTAAATTCTCTGGTTTCTATCATGAAAAATGCTGTATCTGTATGACCTTCAGTTTTGAAGATACTAAAAGTATGAACGGTCATAGCTCTAAAGTAATTTTGTCACACACAATAGATCATGAAATTCTATTCCATCAATCATTGCATTGTTGGCTTTTGTATCTACAATGTCAATACAACCAATGTGAAAAAAATCTGTATTCTTTCTGGGTTGAATAAAGAGTCGAAGGTTTGAAACATTTGCACTAAATATATTTACACTAGTTAATTCCCATGAATGGATGTGTGCACAGCATAGTGTCTATTGGTGGGGAAGGCGGACATGGCATGCCAAATTCAAAGTTTGTTGCATTCACTTTTACACAAATTACCTTGGGAAAGGTATGACTCCATATGTTCTCCAGCTATGGGTTAAATAGCAGGGCAGATTGGACTCTCTAGATTTGGTTGGCAACCAGTCTAAGAGGATGATAACTCTGAATTCGAAACTGTTTGAGTAGGGGGTTGGTAACTCCATTCCGCAACAATACCTATTTGATATGGAAACTATAGTAGTAATACATTGCATGATGACAGTACTTGTAAGTGAAATCTAAAAGCACTGAGGAGGAGGAGGAGAATAATCTGCATGAATAATTTATGGATATATTTGAAAAGTTGGATAATTTTTGTTTATATACCCAAATAGGTGTAGATAGGTTTGCCTATCGCCTGGTTAACTCTCCTTCCCTGTCTATTGAACAGGAGTAGATGTTTATCCTTTGTTTCCTGTTTAGGATTCAATTTGCAGTTCCTTCTAAAGTCTTTTCATTCTCTTTCACTCCTACAAACCTCTTGAGTCTTGGTGGCATTATCACCTAGCTTAAGATGAAATGATTAAAATAAAAAAAAAGATAATGTCTGGATATATATTTACTGAAATATACTAAAATTGTAATTCTTGCTTTTTAATTCATTAAAATTTTTATACATCTTGTTGATGTATAGATAAATGTAATTAGATTTATTTATACTATTTATGGTTGAACTAATATCCTCATTTTTGTTGTTACTATCATCATCATCATCCTTTGACCTTCCTATGGTTGATTGGAATGCTATTGATGATCCGTTTCCATACTGTTCGGTTCTGTATTGCTGTCTCCCAGATGCCCAATGTCCAACCATGAGTACGGAGCTATGGTGTCTGGGAAAGTTGTTACTAGGATGTGCAGGTGGTGCAATGGATAGCAACTCAGAATGAGAAATCGTAGAGAGCCATGTTCAAATTCTAGTCAGGTTTGCTACATTCACTTATGTGCAAATAACTTTGAGAAAAAGATGAATCTATATACCTCCCCTGCTATTACAACCATCAACAACACAATGCTGGAACGTGTTTGGCATGAATTAGATTATTGGCTTGATGTGTGCCATGTGACCAACGGTCCTCACATTGGACATCTTTGAACATTCCATGTAAAACTTGAGATTAAATTCTTTCAGAATATGTCAGGCACATTTTTATATCCTTAATAGTTTTCAGGATATTCAATGTCAAAACGTTCCCAAGACTTTTGGAACAACCTGAATTTTACTGAAAGTTACTAAAATTCTAATCCTTCCTTTAAAATTTTTATACATCTTGTTGATGAACAGATAAATTTAATTAGCTTTATTTATACCATTTAGGGTTGAAGTAATATCCTCATTTTTGTTGTTACTAGGATGTGTGTGTGGTGCAATAGATAGCAATGAGAACTTGGAGACACAAGTTCAAATTCCAGTCAAGTTTGTTACATTTGTATATACCCTTGGGAATGTTATGAATCTGTCTACTACCCCAGCTATGGGTTAAATAGTATAACTTGTACTTTAAAAAATGATTGTTATCTCCCAAAAAATTGTTAATGTAATATTCAGAAAAGAAAAATGAATTATTATTACAATCCAAATATGTTTTGGCTTTAATAACAAGTTGATAAGCCATAAAAGACAAATTAATCAATTACTTCCTATTTTGTTTTAAAAATTTCATCCCAAGCAAGACAATTAAGCTACTAAGATGCAAAGGGTTACTGAGTGTGAAAAAAATAGGAGCAAAAGAAAACCATTATTAGGGTGAGAGAATAAAAGAAAAGAAATTAAGAAGACAGAAGATGACGATTGACATTGCATTTAAATTTTGGAAGCTCAAAGTTGACTGGAAAGCATTTCGTCATAAGAGAATTCCACAAGTGTAAAGTGCAGGAGAAGAAACTGTTAGCATTGAGCTTATGGTTGTATCTACCAATTTCAGTAGTAAAATAAGACCTATCAGACAATCTAGTACTGTACTTAAATTAGTAAAGTAAAGATAAGACCATAAAAATATTTATAGACAATCTAGTCAATTGCACTGAAACAGGGAATTAGTAAAGTACTGAAGAAGAAAACTCATTAAAATAATTACCATAAAAATATTTATAGAAAAGGACTAACATTCTGGCCAGTTTAGAGGTGGTCAAAGAAAAGTGGTTGAAGCTGAGATGCCATGTTAGGACTGATAACATTGCAAATTTTATTAAGCAACTGTCACAATATTTCAGCAATTATATTTGGCCTTCTTATATATGTCTGGTTAACCTTCAAGGGATTTTTGAATTTAACCCTTTATTTAATCTTTAGTGATAGGTCATTCGTTTTGTTCTTGGTGATAGATTATTCTCTCTATGTCCATGTCTTGGGATAGCTTGTCTTGCTTAATTGTCTTTTTACTGATGTAAAATTTATCCCAGTAGATTAAATAAAGGGCTCAGTTTCAAATTCCCTGATAGATTGATCAAGAATGAGAGAAACAAGGGCTAAAATGTTATGAGACTGGACATTTGGTTCAACAACAAAGATGAGGATATTAGTCTGACTAAGTAATATTCCTGACCCCAGCTGGAAATTGATCAGTTTTGTGTTACAGGAAAGTAAAAAAAATGTTGACAGAAAACTTTAAAATCTGTTTTTCTCAAAAGTGCTATTTTTGAGTTACGGCTATTAAATTTATAAGCAACAATATGCAGAATTGGATCTTACTACTTTAAACCTTCAGTTCAGGCTTCTAACTCACAGTTGTATCATATATTCATTTAAAATTAGTTTTCATTCCATTACATTAATTGTTACCAAGCCTCACCTTATTTGAGAAATTTGAACTTTACACATTGCAATGTCCAGTCTATTACGGTTATGCTAGTCTTTCCTCCAAGCTGACACAGCTATTTAGTTGAAAGGAAATTAGACACAGTTTCCATGTCTGTTAAATGCATAATTCTTGACAGTGCTTCTCTCCAGCCTTCAAATTCTCTGTCTGCTCTTATCTGTTTTGATAAAGAATGAGATTTAATAAAAAAAAAAAGAAATTGTTGATTTCCTAATTTAACAGGAGATGGGAACCATGGGGTAGTTGCCTCCTTTGTTGAGGCTTGGGTGTCACAGCTGTGAGTAAAGCTGGTTTCAAATCGACTTCTAAATGTCATCCTGTATCATTTGGGACAATCTTTTTGAGAATGATAATCTAGAAAAGCCTTGAAGATAGCTTTGGGATTAGATC